GATTGAATCTGCTGGTGAATCTTGAAGTTTGTAAGACATAATGTAATGAATTCATCAAATCATGATTGAAAAAAGAAATTAATACAAATGAAACAGATTTTATGAAAGTGAAACTGGTTCATGTCATAATTGAACAACAAGTAGTGAAACATTTTCATGGTGAACCCATTTCATTGATGGTGTAGTTGATCCATTTAGTAGGTGAAGTGGAAAATGAAACAAGTGCATAATGTATTTGGTTCGTCATGAAATAATTTCATAATGAAACTGGTACATGATGAATCTGTTACAAAATCTTGAAGATTGTAATCTGCTCCAGAATCTTGAAGATTGTAAGGCTTAAAGGAATGAATTCATCAAATCACGAGTGAAATAAGAAAATTAATGTACATGAAATAGGTTACATAAAGGTGAAACTGGTTCATGGCGTAATTGAACCAAGAGTAGTAAAACGGGTGCATAATGTATTTGGTTTGTCATGAAATAATTTCATGATGAAAGGGGTACATGATGAATCTGCTCCATAATCTTGAAGATTGTAATCTGGTATAGAATCTTTAAGATTGTAAGGATTAAATGAATAAATTCATCAAATCAGGAGCGAAACAAACTAATCTATGTACATGAAACAAGTTTCATGAAGGTGAAACTAGTTCATGGCGTAATTGAACAATGAGTAGTGAACTAGTTTGATAGTGAACCTCGTTTCAGTGATGGTGTAGTTGATCTATTTAGTAGGTGAAATGCAAAATGAAACGGGTGCATAATGTATGCGGTTTGTCATGAAATAATTACATGCTGAAATGGATTCATGATGAAACCGGTGTGTCTTGAAATAATTTCATAATGAATAGGGTGCATATTTACGTGGGTGTGTGAAAGACATTGAAACAATTTCAGGACAAGGAATAAAGGCTGCTGCATTAGCGAAATTATTTCCTAACAAATAGAAATTTTTAATTTCCTAAAATTGAGAATAATGTTCTTTAATAGGATGTTACAGAATATGTATTTTTTGTTTACCATTTTACCCTTATTGCTGATATAAAAATAATTTTTTAATACATATATTTTTTAATTTTCTAAAATAAAGTAAACTAATCTTGACCATTGATCAAAAAAATGGATGAATGAGATTGGTTTACACAAATGGAGGCTGTTTT